TCACGTTCGGCACTTCCCTCCTTTCTCTTACAACTCTCTGAAACTCATTTTGTATGTATATTTACTTTTTGTAAAGTTGACCAATGAAAAAATTGAAAAAAATTTTTTTTTTAAATATAAAAAAAAAATCATATCAATGATAGAAAAAATCGGCCAACGGGGATAAATTCAAAACATTTGAATCATTATGTTTATCATAAAATTTTTTAAAGGAGGATTTCATTGCCAACCAGTGTTATAAATATGATGGTGGAAAATATATATTTTAACAACAAAATACATAACAATGGTGTACCAAATTTAGATCTTCTAAACAAAGTAAAAATAAAACCCTTAGGAAAACAATTAATCAATGCACAACAAACAAAGCTACCAAAAAGATAAACAAAATTTTTTGACATTTCGGAATTATTATAAACTTGGCATCCTGGAAAAATAGGATTACACACAATCCTTTGTTAGTTCTAATATTGCCCTGATAAAATATTAAACATAATATTTGTATTCGAAACTTGCGTAACTGGTACTAAATATAGATAGGTAGATATATGATTAATATGATGATTCGAATTAATTTTCTCATCAATCCAAGGTATTTTATCGTTATTATCTCTTTGTTATATCAAAACAATTAATTTTAATTCAAAGAAAACTATTAAAACTGCGTAACTGGTAGTAGTATACCTAGATATATAATTCATATGATAATTGCAATTAATATTCTCATCAAAATATGTTTTTATTTTATATTATTTTATTTTAATTTTTATTCTTTATTATTTTTATATGTTTATATTTGTTTTTTTTTTAGTCACATTATAACCAGTCGTGTACAAATTCAAATCGGAATTTACTTCTAACCCTCATCATTACCGCTGTATACTAATAAAATACCATTTAAGACGTATAACAAATAAAAGTGTAGGCCACGCACCTGCATACACCATTACTCACTTGTCTCATTTCCAACGTTAAATTCCCTTATTTTAACATACTGTTGTGTGTATAATAAAAACGATCTAATAAGAGTGTATATTACCATTAAAGTAGTTTAAAAAATGTCGCAGTTAAAAAAATATTCAAAGTTTTTTGAATTTTTTAAGAAAACATAATAATAAAATAAAATATACAATTTCAAAAAGAAAAAATCAGCAAAGAGGCTGTCCCGACAACCAAGCGTTGTTGTGGAAAAAATAGCCCGACGTCACTGACAGACCGTACGCTGCAATTTCACGCACGTCCGGGTATCCCCGAATCGTCGTTTTCCGCAGACAACAAACCGAAATTACAAGTGCATTTTTTTTTCTACAAAAAGCATGCTAACCAAAGCTCTCGTCTCGCCAGATTTTGTCGTATCAGTCCCGTATCGGGGTTAAAAGGCCGTCCAAATATCTAACCGCCAGATAACGCCGTTTCTTATCGTCCGGTGGGATCCAGAGGCTATCGAGCCCGATTCCTACCAATTAAGTCAATGAAAATGCCTGCTGTGTGTTTATTTTGCTCCGTCTGGCACGTTTGGTCGCACACTTTTTACCAAATGAAACAATGCGATCCAGATGCGAGAACGTCGCTGACCATATACAGAGCGTCTCAAAATTAGAAGTCAACCTTTTAACTCCACATCTCTAACTTCAAAGTTAATTTTCTCAATTTGAATATTTGAATAAATATATTTTTTATTTGTGGCTTAAATCTTTATAATCAATATATTCAATATAAAGGGTGTTTTCTTGAATGTCAATAATTAAGCGGACTTTATATGAACATATGTCCTAAACGTCCTAACTTTCGAGATATGGGTGGTAAAGTCTTCAAAAATCATATTTTTTAATATCTGTAATACCACTTTAGATATTTTAATGAAACTTGGCACATACGTACTATGCCACAATTTTTTTTCAAATTCACCAGTGGCACGCGTACAGAATTTCACATGTCTATTTTGGCAGACACGATGGTACGCCAATGATTTTTCTTAAAATAAAAATTATTCTTACATAATTTCTAAAGACATTTTATTTCTTCATTTTCTTTTTCAAACCGACGTAACGGTTTTTCGCTTAAAAAATAAAAACCTCTTCCCTGCATCGTCATAACAATAACATTAATATGACAACATGCAAAAATTTATTATTATTATTATTTCTTACTTAAGTAATTGTCGATGTGTTTTATTAAAATACTCTAAAAAATTGAATCGTATTCAAATGAAATGTGTTATCATATGTTATTATTCTGTTGTTATTACATTAAAACTGTAAAAGTAAAAAGAACGGTCTTTTATTTTTTTTTAAGCACACTAGTTGGCAACTAAAAACTAGATATTTTGTTTTGGATAGATATTTTATTTTTCACAAAAAAAGGTTCCCGGTTTAACCAGTGCAGTGCAGTGCAGATTTATTTTAAAAAAATAATGACATTTGCATTCATATATGAGCAGATTTCATCTTTTTTTTAGTCTGTCGCACGGTTTTCACTTATAAGTAAATTTCTTTGCATGCTGTCATATTAACGATATTGTTATGACAATGCAGCAATAACCGCACATCGGATTGAAAAAATCAAGAAAATAAATTTCTTTAGAAATGATTGAAGATTGTGAGAATAATTTTTATTTTAATAGAAATCAGTGGCGTGCCACCAATGTCGTCAAAAAAAAATGAAGAGAGAGAGAATAAGTATTAGTGAAAACAAGAGAGTGTGAGGAATTGAAATAAATAGAGGATATAGGAGTTATGGAAGTTCTAAGGAAATAGATAATAGAAATGTTCGAGAGAAGAAAAGAAAAACAGAGCTTGAACAGAGAAGAGGAAGAAAAAGGGAAAAAATAAAGATATTTTTAATTTTTATATGAGTATTATCAGTTCAATATTTCGTAATGCAATTTATTAGTTTTCTTTGTAAGTAGGTATAACTATAATTTTATTTTAATTTCAATTGCTCAATTTCTTTGGCTCTATGTTCACATTATCAATAAAACTTTTTTTATATTTTTACCACTATTTTACAGGTTTTCAAAAAAAGTTGGGAATCCTCATTCGGAAAAAACTTTTATCTTTGTCGTTTAATTTCGACAACACCCTTTATACAGGGTTCTCTTTAAGTATACCGAGCAGAACATAAAATGATAAATCCCAATTCGATCAAAATTCCGATGGCGTCCCGAAATTATAGAATATCACAAAAACGGCAACGTGAAATGTGACAAACTTGACCAAAATGTTTGTAAGGAATAATAAAAAAAAATTGAAAAATCAAACCATCGATCACCCGGCATGGGTTTTATTTAAAAAAATATATTCACGTTCATCTTTTCTATTATCCCAGTGAAAAAAATGTTTAAAATATCCCATAAATGTTTGATCGATTTTCGCGTTTAGACATTTGGGTTCCCCCTTTGTCCCCACTGAAATATTTACTTGCTAAAAAAAGTTTGCAGGCACCTTAGCCGACAAAGTTTTCTAAAATCTGGGAAATGTTTCGATATAATATTACGCATCGTTTGATTTTTGAGAGTAGAAGTCAGTCAGAGTCCTCTCTCAATCGAAATGAAAGGTGATAGAAACAGAAATGTCACACCTATCTTGTATTTTTGGATATATTGTGATTTTAAAAATAGACATGTTTTGCAATTCGGTTATGAGTTAACTTATCGGAAAGATAAAAATTGGTCTAGGTAAGATCTTTTACAGTGAGGAGTCAGTTTTCTTTTGAAACGTACAAATTTTGGTATACAAACTTTTTATTAGCTTTTTAAATTATATATTGAATGTTTTATATGAACAGCCCATGGGAGCAAAGGTGTTCGTCCTAATACATTTTAGTTGTAGCAGTTTAGTTTTTCTGCCTCCTCCTCCTTCTGCTGTGGCTCATATTCATTAATTTGCGCACACACAACCGCGCGCGTTTATTTTATCTTTTTGTAATAAATTATATAATGTATGTAAAAAAAATCTGTATTTTCCTTAGCTTATTCATAAAGAAAGATATGTATATGGTTTGCATTTGAAATAGCTTTTACGTGTTATACAGGGTTATTCAACCTACATTGTTGGTTACTTATGTAAGTGAATATGAGAATATTTTTGTCCATGCGGTGTTGCCAAATATACTCTTAACGTATATCACCTGTCGTTTTTTATTTTTTTTATATTATTACATTTTTAGAATGTACGAAACTTCCTGGTGCTTTTTACGAAATTTGGCAAGAAACACGTACAGCTAAACACTAGAATTTTTGGTTGCGGTTCCCTATTAAATTGTCATAATATAGTATGAGAATTAACTTATCGCGTACAATGTATAAGTATAAGAAAATTTTCGAAACCTAAGAAGAAGGGAACGAGAAAAGCGATTTCAAAATACATTTAGTTACGACGTGTTTGATGGTGGATAATAAAATAGAATTTTTTATCTACATGGAGAATTCGAACGAGGAAAAATATCTGGATATTTTACGAACAGCAGTTAGAGATTTTTTATACAACTTGCCATTAGTGTTACATTGCGGATGTTGGTACTAACTTGATGGAGTTCCGGCTCATTGCACAAATAGAGTAAGTCAAGAAGAATTGGCCACCGGGTTCGCCAGATATTACACCGATTGAAGCCTACCTTTGGGGCGCTTTTATAGGAAGAAGATTCGGAACGCCGTGTCAGACAGGCTTTTCAACAACTTCATCCAAATGAAATTCAAAGGGCAACAGTTTCCAATGTTATGCAGCAAATCCATCGATTTCTTAAAGCAAATGGAGGTCATTTCAAGCATAATATCTAGTGGCATGTAATTAAAAATAATTCAAAACCGCTTATTAGTCTTTAACAATAGTTTTGTATATAACACTTTCCAGGAATATTAAATTTTGTGCTGTAAATTTAAATTGTACGTCCGTCCAGTTTTACTGTTACAATTACACGCTAATAACGGTATAGTAATAGTCGATCGTGATGGCCATATAGTGAGAAATCAAATAGATTTCGTCGTCATCAAGAGTCATCTAATGAAGTTTATTAAATCAGCAACAACATACCCTGGTGCAGACGTAAACAGTGACCATAACCCCGTGGTGATAAATCTACAGCTTCGTTACTTCACTAGAGTCCAACGTCCAAATAAACGTAAGCGAATCGATGTCAAAAAACTCGTTGATCCCGATATACGAGCTAAAGCAACCGAGAGTCTCGAAGCGCGTTTACAAACAATAAACAATTATAATGACGAAGACGTGGAGCCTCGGTGGACTGTTCTAAAAAAGGCTCTTTTAGACACCCAGGAGATCGACATCGGGTATGTGCAAGCCTCTAAAAAACAACAGTGGATGACGGACAAGATCCTTAAACTCATGGATGAGAGAAGAAAATACAAAACCACAGACATTAACCGATACAGGGAGCTGAATAGGGCGGTCAGATCGGAATGCCGGAAAGCAAAGGAGGGTTGGCTAGCTGAAAAGTGCAGTGAAATGGAGGCACTACAAAATAAGCACGACTCGTTTAATCTCCACAAAAAGATCAAGGAATTCACAAACACACAACGCAAACAGATCCGCGGTATTCTGAAGGACACTAACAACAAGATTTTAGTGAGCGTTGAGGAAAAGATAAAAAGATGGAAGGAATATGTTGAGACTCTCTTCAATGACGCACGACCCTATCAAGCACCTCTAGACCATGATCTCAACGAACCCAGTCCTGTTATCACGATAGAGGAAGTGAGACGTGCTATAAAAATTCAAAAAAATGACAAGGCTGTGGGACCAGACCAGATTCACGCGGAAACCTTGAGATTGATCGTCGATGCAGATGATACAGGCCTGAAACTTCTTACATCTTTATTCAACTCAATATACGAAGCTGGGAACTTACCAACGGACTGGTTGAGATCAACGTTCATCACCTTACCAAAAAAACCTAACGCTTCCCAATGCGACGACCACCGAATGATAAGCCTGATGTCTCACGTTCTCAAGGTCTTTCTCCGTATCGTCCACACTCGTATATACGCCAAGTGTGAGAGGCAGGTTGGCGGAACGCAATTTGGATTTAGGAACGGTGTGGGCACACGTGAGGCTCTCTTCTCTCTCAACGTGCTCACATAGCGATGCAGGGACATGAATGTCGATGTGTATGCCTGCTTTATTGACTATCGAAAAGCTTTCGACTGTGTCTCGCACCAGAAGCTCATCGAGATTCTCAAACACACCGGTATTGATGCCGAAGATCTGAAGATCATTACGCAGCTGTACTGGAATCAAACTGCAGAGATTAGGGTAGAGGGTGCAACATCCGAAGAAGTGGAAATTAGAAGGGGTGTTAGACAGGGGTGTGTCCTGTCCCCCCTCCTCTTTAATATATACTCGGAGGCAGTGTTCCGAGAAGCACTGGTGGACGTGAAGGAAGGCATTAAGATCAACGGCATCCTCATTAATAACATACGTTTCGCCGACGATACGGTCGTGCTCGCCGGCAGCCTACCACATCTCCAGAACATGATGGATCTCATCGTGGAACACAGCACACAGTATGGTCTGCATATGAACGTTGCCAAGACCAAGGTGGTTGTGTTCTCCAAGACACCAAAACAGGCGGTCCTCCGGATTAACAACCAGGTCGTGGAACAAGTGTCGTCCGTTAAATATCTTGGAGCCCTTGTCAACGAGACCAGTGACTCCAAAATGGAAATCAGATCAAGGATAGAACAGGCCAGAAGGACTTTCATCTCAATGAGGACCCTCTTCAGCAGTCGAGATTTGAACCTACAGCTCCGCATGCGCATACTGCGTTGCTGCATCTTCCCAGCGCTACTCTATGGCGCCGAGAGCTGGACATTCAGCCAATCAATGGAGAGTCGCATTGACGCCTTCGAAATGTATTTGTATCGCCGTATGCTGCGCATACCCTGGGTAGACGGGATAACCAACGAGGAGAATGGGTAAAGGTAGAGAACTGCTGACAACCATCAAAGAACGGAAGCTTCAATACATCGGACACGTTGTGAGGGGAGAACGTTATGACATCCTCCGAATCGTCATCGAGGGAAAAATCGACGGTAAACGATCTGTGGGTAGACGACAGAACTCGTGGCTAAAGGATCTGCGTCGATGGTTTGGACGGACATCTATAGAGATTTTCCGAGGTGCAGTTTCACGCACCATTATAGCCAGTTGGATCGCCAACCTCCGAAGGGAGACGGCGTCCTAAGAAGAAGAAGAACGGTATATTAAGCTTATTATGTCAAAGACCAATTTGTTTACAAACACCATAGCTTGGTACATTTAGATGACAATGTAACATGGATTTTTATATCTTGCCAATTGGGCCTTATCTTATGAACATCCTGTACGCGATAAGTTAGTTCTCATACTACATTATGATAGACCAACTTAATAGAAAACCAACCAAAAATTCAAGTGTTTGGCTGCACCGGCTGCGTAAAAAATTATCATTTTATATCGTTTTGTTCGTTGGAAAATTTCATTAAAAAGAATTTTTTGTCTCCGAAAATGTTCATAAAAAAAATTCAGAATGTTTCGCAGAATATAAAATTGTAATAATATAGCTGGCGATCCATTCAAAAAACGACAGTTGAAAAACGTCACGAGTATTTCTGGCAACAACGCATGGCCAAAAATATTTTACATAGGCATCTCATAAACATGTAATAGAACAATTACCGTGAATAAACCCGTATACTTTTGAAAAGCTAACAACAAACCCAACGAAATTATTAAAATATATACAGGGTGTCCCATTTAAAAAACACAAGTTTAGTCTATATGTATATCAAAATTTTTGTCAATGTCAGAATACAACTGTATACTACGCAAAAACTCTTCATCTTTTCAATAAGTCTACGCATAACGGAGTGACAAAGGGTGTGTAAAAACGCAAAATAACTTTCGAATCCACGACGTTGTTAAACAAATAAGCAATCGATTTATTTTAAGGATAAACTAACAAATTTTAAATGCGTTTTGGAAAATGATACATTCCCGGATACGTAGTTCGAGAGAAACCAGACAAACATGTCCGCCCCCAAGGGCGTTTATCCGCGAAGGTGCAACGCGCGTGACGATTTATCAAATTATTCTCCCGACCGAACTTCGGAGCGGCAACAACATTGCGAAGTTTATTTTTCCAAATGTTTCCCCAGCTCAAACGTATTACTCATCTTGGGGTTAACTTTACCATCCGTGCGGACCGTACTAAGTGGGTTTGGGAAAGACCGTTTCTGTATATGTAATATTGCAATTCTGGTAGCAATTAGGAGGAAATAAATACACAAAAACCAATCAGTGAGCAAATTTATAAATTTGTGAATTCAGTCTTTCTTTCCCAGAGCGTAACTAACATAGATTTTAAATAATAAAAAAAATAGCCAAATTTAGTCTTGTAATTTAATTTAATAAAATTGTTGCAAAATATTTGCATAAAAAAACTGAAACCCCCCATTTATTTATTTATTAAATTTAATAACCGCTTAATAAGCAAATGACTGGTGAAGAAGTTTATCGACGTGTAATAGTAATAGTAATATTTCAGCCCTTCCGATTGTCTTTTGTTTTTCTGCTCGGTATATTAGTGTATCGAAGAAAACGCTTGCGACAGTGAAATTCGTAGAAAAATTATTACTATATCCGTAAAAATGCATTTTTACGTCGTAAATTGACAGCCGTCTTGTAAAGGGAACATTCGTTTAAACCCCTTTGATATGGTAATAACGATGTACGAAAGCGCATCTGCTTCGGATTGGATAAGCCTGCAGTCCTGAATAGTTTATATTTACCTAAAAAATGGGATTTTCCACACAAAAAGTCCGAAAATGATTTTGGTGCATTGTTAAGGAATATACGTAGTTTCGTGATCAATGTCGCAGCTAATTTAATTTATTTTTTATTTACGGTTTAACCAAACAACAAACAAAACTTTTACATTCATTAAAAGCAAATATATATATATATATATATATATATATATATATATATATATATATATATATATAGGACACTATATTCCGGGATATCATCCGTTCGCTCGTTGAACTCCGGCTGGAATCCTGCAAATCCTGCATCCGACACACACACACACACACACACACACACACACACACACACACACACACACACACACACACACACAGAGAGATTTATTAACGTTTCGATTGTAATTTCGATCTTTTTCAAAATACTCTTATTTTGTATAGGTGACATATATAACAATTAATGACATTTGACGTTGTGTTAATATATTAAAAATAAAAATAATTTGTCAGCGAATATTTTATACGGATTGAAACGGCATGCAAAACAGGTACGGATGTTTTTTATTATTTTTTATTATAATGGATAATTTAATTTTGTTAGTTTAAGATTGAATGATATATTTTGTTAATTTTTTAGAATCTGTTTTGTAATTAATTAAATTTTTGTTTTTTTGGATTTCTATACTTTCATAAAGCTCTCTTTTTTTGATGTTAGGTTCTGTTAGTAGGACTTTAACTTTTTGAAAATTAACTCTGTGTTTGGTGTTTTCGCAATGGGTATGAAGAGCTGTTTTGCTTTTTGTCTTACTTATGTCCGTTGATTCTATTTTTTAAATATTGTCTTGTTTGTCCTATATATACATTGTCGCAATTAGATCATGGAATTTCATATACTATATTTCTTCTTTTTTCAAATGGAATTTTCGCTTTGAGTTTAGTGAAGAGATATGTTTTTTCTAAATTATAACTTTTGTATTCTTTGAGGATTTTGAACCCTCATACTTCTCATAAGTAGAAGCAACGTGCTTTGCAACCAAGCCAACAATATCCCGACCACAGTCGGCAACCTCGGCACCCAAATATTATTGGGATATGCACTTGACCTCCGCAAACTATTTACATGTTGCCAAAAAGATTTGGGGTCATACGCGACATCCTGATTAATCTAATCTAATGCACAAACTAAACTGTTATCTTTTCCTTTCCGCAAAATAATTTTTCGATCTCACCGATTTTACATAGTTTTTTTTTTGTGGTTTTTATAGTTTTATAATCCTAAAAATATTGGAAATTGATTGAAATTTTTGCAAAATGTTCTGTAACAATAATTAAAATTCACATCTTATATTAGGGTTTCTAGTGACTTAAGTATCGTAAATTGAAATCGTTCCGTTTTCTGAACTACAAGGGGATTAAAAGAGAAGAATTGTTTTTATTTAAAAGCAGATAAGGGTAATAAAGTTGTCATCTTAGACAAAGAAGATTATTTTCTACGAGTTGATAAACTCCTTGAAGAAACTAAATAGAAATCCATTATCGAGGATGGTACAGCAGGTAAAAAGCACATTAAATAGTTATAAAAACCTTACTACCCAAAATCTGAAAAAGAAAGTTTTTCTGTAAAAAACTTGCAAGAGTTTATTGGTAAAATCAAAGACGTAAGGCTAAATTTACATGAACTTTTAGTATCTATTGATGTCTCCTCATTATTTCCAGAAACTTTGGAATACCTCAGGAAATTAGTCGAATACAATAACTACAGTAAAGATATAATTGAAGAGCTGATCACTCCGACAAAGGTTTGCATGAGTCAAAATATTTTTCTATATAATAACATGCAGTTGCCTTTTTTGAACTTTCTCGTTATCAAAAACAGTAGTAGTACTTTAAGATACATAACCAATGATTCTAACCATGGTTTTCAACACAAAATGGCAAGTTTTAATTTTCTAGTTCATAGACTCGTCACATTTCCTTTAAATCAAGGAAGGTTTGAGGTGGAAAGAAGCATTATAAAAAAGGTGGCTAGAATCAATGGCTATGAAGATAGTTTTATCGATAAGTTAATTAGGAAATTTAGATTTAAAAATCAACGACTTTTCAAGCTGATAAGGAAAATTTAGAAGTAATCTCAAGTCCTTTCTCTCCCCAATATACAAGTGGACTTAATAGAGTCTTCAGGGCCGCAGTTCTTCGGAGTGTCTATCAGTCCGGATCAAAATTAAAAAATCTCTTGGGTAATCCCAAGGATGAACGAGATACCCTTGAAAAGTCGGGAATATATGAAATATGTTGTAACGATTGTGACAAGTCATATGTAGGGCAAACCAAAAGATC